CCCCAAAACCCCAAAACCCCAAAACCCCAAAACCCCAAAACCCCAAAACCCCAAATTTAGAGACCTAGCTGAAACTGGTTGATATTAATCAGCCTTAACAAGATTAACAACGAAAGGCTCTCCGATAGCCTTCTGTTCGTCAAGATCAAAGAGGTACATCTTAAGGGTTAAGAAAACCTTGCCGTTTATATCCTTAGGCATCTTGAATTTCAAATTAATCTCTCCTTTCTGTCCAGCTCCAAGCTTGGAGTCAATTCTTTGTTCATTAAGTGTCAAATCTGAGTCATTAGAGCAGATAAAAATCATGTTTTCACTCCAGGCTTTATGGATCATGTTCTTAACTTCCCAGTTAAGGGTGACGAAACCTCCTAGCTCGAATGGGACTCCTTCCCTATATCTCTCTTTATTCAAAATCTGTGCTTTCTTCTTCAGCATGTTTCCAATCTTGAGGTCATCCTTTCTCTTATTAGTGTTCATGATGGCATACTGGCACTCTTCCAATTTGTAAGAGGGAGCTTCGTAAATCCCGAGCATTTTCTGGCAGAACTTGTCATAGACTTCAAAGTTGAACTCGACACCTTTAGGGATCTTGATAAAGACATAGCCGTCATTTCGGTGCATCTCACAGAGCTCGCATAGAGTGTAGTTGTCCCTAATCGAGCATATAAATCTGGTATCTTCAGTGAGGTCTCTCTTACATTGTTGGCAGAGTATTTTCTTCTGTATCTTTTCAATAGGTTTCTCAATAACTGGTTGAATTGCATGCTCATGCTTAGAATCTGAGAACTCCCTTGGCCTGTCATCTATCAGCTCGAAGGAGTCATTCTGACGTGGCTTTGGAGAGTCACTCTCGCATGGGTTGTATCCCCCATCAGATTCAGACTTGAGAGGTTCTTCTTCCTTATCAGAGTCGAATACTTTATTGGTCTCTGGTTTTTTCTGGATCATTTCAACCTCAGAACCAGATTCATTCTTCTTAGAATGATGTTCATCATCAGAGCTCTCTGACTGTAAAGACTTGTACTCCATCTCAATATTCGGGTGGACTTCAGGATCCTTTATATCTATCAAATCCTGATTTTGGTCGAAAATAGTAGCAACAGGTTTAGGCTTTTTATTTTTATTTACTTTACCCTTTTTAGACTTATTTGAGCCCTTTTTGACCTTCTTAACAGCTTTCTTCTGTTTGGCAATCTCCTTCTTCGTAGCAACGATTTTACTCTTCTCTTCAAGTAGCTGGTTCTTGATCTTGTTTTTTTCAACTTCGAACTTGAGCATCTCTATTTCTTTCTTGTATTCCTCGATTTTGGAGAAGTCATAACCGGGTGGAGGGACTGGTGAAGTCATAAGTGAAGGTCTGTCTACTGTAGATCCTAGCATAGTATCTCCGAGGATAGATTCATTGACTGTTTCACAGTCGTCAATCTCACGGTCAAATCCTCTGCCTTCAGCCTTACTATTCAAGAACAGCTTAACAGACGGTGGCCTGGCAGTTGTAACAAACTGTAGGAAGACATCATAGTCCTCATCATCTGAGATATCAATCTGGTCATCTTCATTATCCAGGTAGCATACCTTATAAGAATGCTTGCCTTGAGAGAACTCTTGGTACTTCTTCTTCACGAGGTTTTCAAACTTCTGAAATGTATTCGGCACATTTGCAATCTTCTTCACCCTGTTATTATACTTAATCTTCAAAGGAGGTAGAGGTTTTGAAGAAAAAGCCTCCACATTTTTCTTTCCTGATGTGCTAAAGGGATTCCCAGTGTTAGAACCCAAGTTAAAAAGATTCACACCCTGACTAGGTTCTCCCGATGATTTCTGAAATAGATTCTTCCCAAAACCGTGCTTTGTAGGTGAAGTCTTTTTCTCGAATAGATTTTTGCTCATATTTATTATATAATTTGTCTCCCAATTTTTTAAGAGATTTAGGGGTTTTGGGGTTTTGGGGTTTTGGGGTTTTGGGG